ACACAGACATTTCTAAATTATCTGGAAGAATATCTACTTGATAGAAGAGTTTAAAGATGGGAAAGAAGTTTAGAGGGAGTAAGATGGTGTTTGAGGGAGTGTTGACAGAACGGCACTCTCCGGGCTTTCTTCAGCTTTTCCTTACAGTACACTTAGGTGGTGAAATCGACTCTTTTACCTGGAGATGTCTCAGGCGAGATTCCGTTTAACGCACCCCTTCAGCGTCTCCGTAGGATGCTGTTACTCGTCCGGAGTAGTGGCGAGATTCTGTCCCTCACAGCACCGGTTCAGTGGAAAATGTTATAATCCCATGAAACTCGGAAGAGCTCTGTTGTCATGTCAGGATCTTCCCGGCTCCCAGAACTGGGCTTCTCCGCACAGAACTGAACAGAACTGAACTCCACCGAACCGAGTAGAACCCTCACAGAACTGGTTAGACCAGGAAGTACCGACATTTTAAAGAGCTCTTTTCCCGGTTCATCTGGGAGTATTCCCATTGGCCAGAACCGACCAGACGGGGTGTGTTTTGTGACGTAAAAGGTTAGAATGCAGCAAGAATTGTTATGGAACAGATCAGAAACGTTCTCACAGACAGAGAGTTTTGTTTTGGCGAGTTTCAGAAACAGGTGCCAAAACCCCCTCTGTTGACGTCTGAGAGGATATAAACAAGACAGTTGTTCCAACGCATGTCTGCTTTGACTCCTGACCCTGGAACGCACACTTGCATGAGAATTAAAAATCATTACACAGTTAATAAAATTGATGAGTTCACTGCAACATCTAAAATGGTTTGAACTAAGACACTTTGATTATCAACATCTGTAAAATAGTAATGATAATAAAAAAGAGAGTGTTCTTTCACTTGATTATCAAGAAAGAGAGTCTCAGGATGGGTGAACCTGTATCTCTGGATTCAAATCAATGAAATGACAGTTTCTGTCCCACAAGGTTCTTAAGGTCAAGGGTTTTGACCTTAGGCTTAGTCGTGACACCAGATTAAGTTCACTACAATTTTGCAGTTTATTCTTCTTCTTGGGTCGAAAGAAACGCTAATTTAGAGGCCTTAACATGTCCCAAAACTCACCAAACATTACCAAAAATTTTCCCCTGCGTGAAATTTTTGTTTTGTAATGGAATCAAAAGTGGGCGTGGCCGAACTGTTCCACAGCACCCCCTATCGTGAGATATGACAACTGGTAAGTTGTAGAGAGCTGACATTTGGTACATAGGTACAACCCACTGAAACAAGAAAAAAGTATCTTGGAGGTATTCCCTAAACCCAACAGGAAGTTGGCCATTTTGGGTCAAAGGGTCATTTTTGGCCATTTTTCTCTTCTCATACATGGCAAATTTGAACTCCTACTCCTAGGGATTTTGAGCGATTGCCTTCAAACTTGGTGGATATGCCCTTAAGACATTGGGGAGTAAAAGTTATCAAAAGATTGCGTTTTCGTTTATGTTAAAGGGGCGTGGCCAGGCCTCAAAATTGGGCTTCACACCATAAATGTCCAAATGCTATAACTTTCACATTGAAAGACCTAAATGCACCAAACTTGGCATGACTCATCCCTGTTGGATGTCCAACGATCCACTGTTGTCATATTGTGATGTCGTCAAAGCCCCGCCCCCTCAGAACAGGAAGTTTCTTATTTTAATTGGAATGTGCCTTCTTTGACATCTTTGACCTAATCAGGATGATCCTGTGTTAGATGACAGATAAGATGGTTTGAAAACGACAAAGAGTTATAGCTGGAGGATGTGGGCGTGGCGGCGTGGCGAATTAAAAAGTGACGCCGTTGCAATACGTTTGGCTCTAAATTGCACAGATTTGAGCACAGGTGTACCAAAATCACTATGATCGATCATTATCCACCCCTTGAACAGGTTTCAATGATAAGTGGCCAATAGCCTCCACAGCGCCACCTACATTCTTCCTACAGTTATATCTCAGTGATGCAACATTCGATCTGAACCAGATTTTTAGTGCGTCATTAGTGAGCATTTATGGACACATTGCTTTTGTGGTTTAACATATGACTCAAGTGTGCCCCCTAGATTATTTAATCAGTTATATCTTAGTGATGTATCATCCGATCTGCACCAAATTTATGGTGTGTCATTATTGAGCTCTGATGGACACATTATATTGTTGTTTAATATTTGACTCAAGTGCGCCCCCTACATTATGCAAACTGTTATATCTCAATGATAAATCATCCGATCTGCACCAGATTTTGGGTGCGTCATTAGTAAGCACTTTTGGACATATTAGTTTTGTGGTTTAACATAAGACTCAAGTGTGCCCCCTATATTATTTAATCGATTTTATCTCAGTGATATGTCATCCGATCTGCACCAAATTTTAGGTGTGTGATTAGTGAGCACTTATGGACACATTGGTCTTGTTGTTTTACTTTTGACTCAAGTGTGCCCCCTACATTATTCAAACTGTTATATCTCAGTTATATATTGTCCAATCTGTACCAGATGTATTGTGTGTGACCAGTGAATCATTCTGCACACATTGGGTTTGTTGTTTAACATTTGACTCCTGAGTGCCCCCTAGGTTATTCTACAAGTTATATCTTAGTGATGTATCATCTGATCTGTACCAAATTTATGGTGTGTCATTATTGAGCACTGATGGACACATTGGTTTTGTTGTTTAATATTTGACTCAAGTGCGCCCCCTAGATTATTCAACCTGTTATATCTCAGTGATATGTCATCCGATCTGTACCATATTTTGGATGCGTCATTAGTGAGCATTTCTAGACACATTGGTATTGTTGTTGAATATTTGACTCAAGTGCGACCCCTAGATTATTCAAACTGTTATATCTCAGTGATATATCATCCGATCTGCACCAGATTTTTGGTGCATCATTAGTAAGCACTTATGGACAATTAGTATTGTTTTTTTAACTTTTGACTCTAGAGCGCCCCTACATTATTCCAACAGTTATATCTCAAGAATACATCATCTGATCTGCACCAGATTTTTGTGGCGTCATCTGTGAGCATTTCTAGACACATTGGTATTGTTGTTTAACATTTGACTCAAGTGCGCCCCATAGATTATTCAAACTGTTACATCTCAGTGATATATCATCCGATCTGCACCAGATTTTTGGTGCATAATCGGCGAGCACGTCTAAACACATTGATATTGTGGTTTAACATATGACTCAAGTGCGCACCCTCTCATACTGATATGGCGGAAGACAATTGCAAAGTTTAGGCATATGCACACCCAGGTGGACGCGTGCGGGAATGGCACAAGAACGTTGACAATGGTGACAGGGAGGCGTCGCTGGAGCTCCCGCGGTCGCCGTAAGGCCGGAGCGGCGCTTTGCTGCGAGGGCCTTCAACGCTGCTTGCAGCTTTAATTGTAATTGTTATTTTTAGTGTAAATAATATTGTTTGTATTTAACTCTTCCACTTTGTTTGTTTCAGAAAATAACCTTCCAGACTGCTGTGGTCAACAAACCTGGTGATTTCAACACAAACACAGGTGACTTCACCTGCAGGATACCTGGGGTTTATTATTTCACCTTCCACTCTGTTGCCAAGGTAACACACCTGCTGTGTGTCTTTATGCCAAGAAACATAAATATGTCCCATTTATTGATTGCCTGTTAATAACTTTTAGTCAAATGTGGGGGGGAGGGAGACTGAGTATAACATAAGTTTAAATATTTGACCAGAACAGTCAAAATGAACACAGTTTAAAATTCTGGCATGAAAGGCGGTGGGTGGTATGCATTCCTGTAAAGAATGCCAGGTCTGTAATAGCTGTGGTGTGTCTGCAGGCCAGCATGTGCCTGGGTTTGGCGAGCGACTCGCTGGAAAACAAACTGGTATTCTGTGACTACAACAACAACAGGCGCTACGAACAGGTGAGTGTTCATGTCAGAGGTCAGGAGCAAGAACCATGTTGAAAAAAATCTAATGTCCTGATGGGATTACCTGCATTGTGTTTCAGATGCTGTCAGGTGGAGCAGTCCTACAGCTGACTGCAGGAGAAAGGGTCTGGCTCGAGTCCTTTAAAGAAATGCAGACAGAAGATGACAAACAAGACAGCCAAGAAAAACAGATCATCTTCAATGGCTTTCTGCTCTTCTCAAATCCAGAATAAACTTCTGTAGGCTTCTATAAATCTTGGATTTCAATTCATGTTTCTGAGAAACATTTACTGTTGTTTGGGACTTTGGGATTTAAATTTTTTTTTTCCTTCATTCTGACTCCTGTAAACCTTCATTAAGTGCTGGCTCTAAATTAAAGTTGATATTTAGCCCGATATTAAGGTTTTGATGAACAATTTGTTGTGATTTCAGTTTTCGTAACAGTTCATCTTTTAAAGTAGTTTTATCTGAATTGCATTTTTTAAAACAAACAAGTTAAAGGAACTGAAGAAATGCACATCTCCCTTACAAAACAATTATAGATTAAAATTATTCAGTATGATCAATTTTGACTTGGATTTGTACTGTTTTGCTGCCTTGGCCTCAGGATTTAGTCATATGTTTCCAACTGGTGGTGATGTGTAGCTGAATGTGTGAGAGAAACCAGAACATCATCTGTATCTTAACAAAACTGAAACTTTTTAGTTGATGTTGAGATGCAAACAAGTTTGTTTTCCGTTTGTTTCAGTATTTTAAAGCAATAGTTTGTGCAAATGAACTTGTTTTTTTTCAGGTAATATATAAAATAGCTCTTGATATTTTTTGAGGGCATGGTGGTGCAGAGGTTATAGAAGGTGGGCTTGTGATTGGAAGATTACTGGTTCAACTCCCGGTACCGACGACATAAAAAAAAATGTGGGTGGGAAAGATGAAGCACCCACACCTGCCTCCACCCTCATTTGCCCTACTCTGGGCCCCTGAGCAAGGCCCTTAACCCCCACCATCTGCTCCTCCAGACACCCTAGATGGCAGCTCTCTGCTTCTCACAGAGGGCTGTGGTAGCTCAGTGGTCTGTGGTTATGTTAGGAAGGGAATCTGGCATAAAAATAATTGCCAAGTCTTTGACGACTTAGTTCCCTGTGGCGACCACTCAAGAAGGGAGCAGCCAAAAGCAAATATATATATATATATATATACATATACATATATATATATATATATATATATATATA